CCCCTGGGACCATCAGGAATCCCAGTTGTGTGTGGGGGGGGGGGGATGACCTGGTCCCTGCTCAGAAAAATGGAGGCAAAGAAATTGTTAAATAGGTTAGCTTTGTCATCTGGTGAGACCACCAGATTTCCAAGCATGTCCTGCAGAGGCCCCACATTACCCATAACCGTCTTTTTACCCCCTATGTATTCAAAAAAGGATTTCTTGTTATCCTTGATCTGGGTTGCTAGTCCCAGTTCTGTCTCCATCTTGGCCTTCCCAACAGTCCCCCTATAATCCCGAGCAACAGTGGTATACTCCTCGTCAGTGAGGACCCCTCCCTTCCATTGGGTGTACACCTCCTTCTTAGCTTTGAGACATTCCTGGATGCTTTTGGTGAGCCATGGGCGCTTTTGAGTACTCTTGCCCCCTTTGATCCATGTTGGGATTGCCACCCTTTGGGCTTGGAGGATCATCTCCTTCAGGAACGACCACTCTACTTAGACTCCCAACTCCCCACCTCTCCGGGACCTCAGTGCCTCCCCAACTGGTCTCCTTAGCTCAATGAAATCCGCCCTCCTGAAGTCCAGGGCTGCTGTCTTGCTGCAGGCCTTTGCCACCTTGCGCTGGATGGTGAATTCCAATAGGCGATGATCGCTATCACCCAGGTAATCAAACACCCACAGTCCCCTCACCAGGTTGTCGCTTGTGGCCAGGACCAGGTCTAACTAGGCATTTTCCCTGGTGGGACTGTGCATCTCCTGGGTTAGATGGAGGTCCTGTAACACAAACTCCTCTCTGACCAATTCAAGCTGGACATAAGGAAGAACTTCTTCATTGTCTGAGCCCCCAAGGTTTGCAACAGACTGCTGCCGGAGGTGGTTCAAGCACCCACTTTGAACGCCTTCAAGACACATTTGGATGCTTATCTTGCTGGGATCCTATGATCCCTTCTGACTTCCAGCCCCAGGGGCAGGGGGCTGGGCTCGATGATCCTCCAGGATCCCTTCCAGCCCAAATGTCTATGAAATCTATGAACACAGCTAGGAACCTACGCAAGCAGTCAGACCTGGCTGACTGTTCCTCCCAGCAAATTTAGGTCACCCATGATGACCACATCCTTTGACTTAACTGCCTCCGCAAGCTGACCTGAGAATTCCTGGTCTAGCTCTTCTCCTTGGTTGGGTGGTCTGTAGTAGACCCCCATGGTTAAGTCCCTTTCCCCTCAACCCCCTTGTATTCTGACCCAGAGCACTTCAGTCTGACCCTCCTCTGACCCAGCTGCTTGTTGAGGATGTGAATTGTTCTTTGACATAGAGCACCACACCCCTGCCTTTCCTCCCTGTTTTATCCCTCCTGTACAGCCTATAGCCCTTGATGTTCACCGCCCAGTCATGTGTTGGATTCCCCCACAGTTTGGTGAGCCCCACTATGTCTGGGTTTGTGCTAGCTAGCAGGAGGGCAAATTCCTCCTGCTTGTTCCCCGTACTATGAACATTAGTGTATAGGCATTTAAGGCCTCCTGAAGGTGTATGCATCACCCCCCTAATCCCAGGACTATCTGGGTCTCTTACCTGGGTATTTCTTGTGCTCGTCATCCGTCTTGGCTGGGCTGTTCTTGTGGGTGACACTTGGTTTGGTGTTCCAAGGCTCCCTCCAACCTCATCCTCCCCTTCCCCCAATGAGCCTAGTTTAAAGCTCACCAGAGGAGATCAGCCAACCTGAAAGAGAATACACACTTACCTTTGGGAGAGAGGTGAAGCCCATCCCACCCAAGCATGTCTCTCATCTTGAAGTATGGGTCATGGTCCAAGAAGCTGAAGCCCGTCCCAAGACACCGTTCCCAAAGGCGCAAGTTGACCTCTCTGATGTAGATCTCATGGTGTCATCCATGTCTGCTCACTGGAAGGACAGATGAGAAGACCACCTGTGCCCCTGTCTCCTTCAGCTTGTTGGATAGATGTGAATACAGCAGAGAACAAAAGATATGCTGTTGTAATGTTGGTCCTCATTGACCAAAAGCTTGTTTCTTGGAGGTTTGCACTATGCAAGTGCAAAGACTACACATGGATGTATAAAAATAGAACCTGTCTAATCTCTAGAGCTGGTTAAATAATTATAAACAAATTCAAGAATATATTCAATATTTTCTGAATATTTCCTCAAAGTTTGCTTATCTCACCATCCTGGGATATGAGTGTTTCTGTGGTGTCCGGGTAAATGTAAAAACACAGTGAACTAAAATAGCTCTTTCCCATGGGAGTTACAGTAAAATTAAAGCTAAATGAGCTACCACAGGATTGTTGAAATGCTTCCACTAGAAACTTCAGAAGTAAATAAGTGAAATATATTGTGTCACTGTTTTCAGCAATACAGGCAAATGAAATCTTTGAAGTAGATTTTCATGGATAATGTAATTAGCAAGGGCAGCCAACAGCTCTTAAATTGTTACAGTTGCTTTGCCCACAGTGTTCCAAAAGAATTTAGCTGGCAGGACATGTGGATCTGGGCTGGGACGGTTATGAAAGGTAGCTTCTCTCCCAGGATTGGTGGTATCACCAGTATGGATGGTTTAATCCAGGGGTGTCAAACTCATCTGGCCCCCTTGGGTCAGATAAGTAGTGTGGAGGTGATCTGCAGACTGCATCGGGCCCACAGACTGGCCCTGTGCACCAGATCCAGTGCATGGGGTCAAGCCAGTGCAGGCATGCAGCATGCAACCCAGACCAGCCCCTAAACCACATGCAGCATGCGCTAGACTGGCCCACACAGCACATGCAGCATGAGGGAAGGAGCCAGGGCTTGGGTGTGCTGCAGATGGCATGGGGAATGCCACATGCAGTGTGTGGGTCCAGTTCAAGACCCATTGGCATCACTGGAGGCTGGATGATAGGGTTCCACAGGCTCAGTCTTTGACACCCCTGGTTTAATCTATTTACTGTATTTTTACTCTCCACTTGAAAGGTGGTGAGCTGTATGCCTTCTGCGGTGCTCTCTTTGGCATTACATCCATGATCACATTAATGGTGATTGCCCTGGAAAGATATTTTGTGATCACAAGACCGCTGGCTTCCATTGGGGTGGTGTCCAGGAAGAAGGCTCTGATAATCCTGGTAGGAGTCTGGCTGTATTCTTTGGCTTTGAGCCTTCCACCCTTCTTTGGATGGAGTAAGTGGAAGGGAGTAACAGCTTATTTGTTTCATACCATGAGTAAATGAGAGATTAAGGAATGGGTTGGTTAGATGAAAGGCTGAATAAACAGGATTTAAATGCAAGCTAGAGTTTGAAGAAATCACTCTGAGGAAAACTGCTTACAGCTAATGAGACTTAAGATGTTTAATCAGCAGAAAAAATTACACTGCACGCATCACAGTAAATACATTACACTGACACTTTTGCTAGAAATCTCATTAGCACATTCAATAAAAATAGTAGATAAAATCAAGGGCAAAAATTATGCAAAACAGACTTACATAACATTTCATAACCTTCTGCAGTCATGTAGAACTGAATATAAAGTAAAAGGGAGATGAACATACTACATGAGTTTTCAGAATTACTTTGTGCCCATAAAAATTGCCATATTGAGAGCCTGGGTAACCTCAGTTCATCTCTCTCTATATACATCTAAAAGGAGTTCAGAATGAGCAACCAGAGGTTATTTCATAGTCTTTTAATATGTCTCAAACCTGCCCTGGAGAGACCAGTTGTAGAGGTGAAAAAACAGTTTACTGTCTCTGCCCATTTAGCCATTTGGCTCCTAGCTGAGCCTACCACTAACGATGATGTTTAGTAGTAATGTTACTTTATTGATTTTGTGTATGTAAATTACAGCACATATATTTTGCATCCATGCAAACTGAAAATTTACAAATAGAACTAATAATAGGTTTTGTGTTTCTCTGTTAGAAACCAAACCAATACCATTAACTTATTTCATTTGAACCAACAATCACTATCTTTCAGTTACTTTAGACCTAAGGTAACATGAACTTCAACCTATCAGTAGAAGGCCCAAACCCACTGCTATCATGGTACCAAATTGTGTAACAACACTCCATAGGCATCATGTGCAGAGGTGGGTTAAACTGAGAAAATAGCACTTATTCATTTGCCCACAAGGCTGCTGCAGCAAGCTCAGATATTTTTTTTTCCTAACTGAATAAGATGCATAGCTGGCAAATTCCAGCTGTTTAATGTTAGCAACTTAAGCTTAAATGAGAAGCTTTAAAGAGAGCAATATGACAAATACTCTTAGATGAACAAAAGTTAACATGATGAGGCAGAATAATTACTTGAAGGGTATTATAATTGCTTTCTTATAATTAGATTCTAATTGTATCCATTACACTGAGCCTCATGCAATAATTGGATGTATCTGAGCACATCTGGTACAATATTTTTAAGAGCTGGTCTAACAGAAGCCATAATTGAAAATGCTGAGAATTAAAGTAATGAGAATAAAAATAATTTGGCATTGACAGTTTGCTTTACATTTTTAACAGTTTGACATGCTTTCTCCAAGGAGACTTAATTTCAGGCAGATCTTGCACATGTTTCCTGTTCCACTTATTTGATTATCTATTTCATGACCATATTAATTTGATCTGCACAGAAAATTTCGGTTCCCTGTAGAATTTATAAAAAAGTGGTGGTTATTGTAGTCAGTTTCATTTCACTCCTGACCAAGAGATGAAGATTTCAGAGATAACTGGAGAAATAGTAAACTTTGGAAAGTGTGAGTCTGATCCAAAGCCCATTGAAATTACTGGAACAATGCCCCCAATTAGTGTGGGCTTTAGATCAAGCCCAGAGATTGAAATAAACAAAGAATCAACCTTTAAAATAACACAATTAAGATTTTTAGAATTGTAAGGCCATGAAGATCAATGGAGTCAGGAATTATCAGAGTTGTTAAAAAAAAAAAAAAAAAAGGGTGTCCCTATTAAATCTCTTTCTTCAACAAATAAAATCAGATTAGATACTTTTCAAATCCCAGAGATATTGCTAATGCTTTCTCCCTTTGCTGCTGCACCAGAATTGCATAATAAATAAATACATACATACATACATATAGTGCCCAGTAAAAATTGCTTTGTTGCTTATTTCTTCTTCTATCTCTCTTTTAAGGTGGTTATGTTCCTGAGGGACTGCTGACTTCCTGTTCCTGGGACTACAGGACCTTTACCCCTTCAGTCCGTGCCTACACAATACACCTGTTCTGCTTTTTGTCTTCTTTATTTCTCTGACTGCTATCATACGCAGCTATATTTTCAGGGCTGTCAGGAATGCCAACAAGTGAGTCACCAATATTCAAGTTCCATTCCTTCTTTAGGGAACAGATTGGATTTTATCTTTAACCAAAAACCCATAAAAGTGTAAATTTAAAAAACCTCCTTTTATCTTATATAAAAGGCTGAAACACAAAAGCAAAAATTTCCAGTTAAATTTTAGCATGGCAAAAAAGGTGAATGCTGAAAGAAGTTTTCAAAGTTCTCTACTAGCCTCAGCATTGTTTACAATATTTACTAGCAATTTTAAAAGGGTGTGAATAGCAACAGTAGATGAATCAAGACTAGAAAAGACTGAGAAATTTCAGAGGCACCCAATACAGCTAAAGAATTGTTTGACTCAATGCCAATCAAGACCAGATTTTGGGGTGGGGGGGAGCGGTATTATTTTTGCTCCTCTGCATAGGCATTAGGCTTATGCAAAGTAGCTTTGAAAAAAAACAAAAAGAGACAGTGGAAAATTTCCCAGGCAGAAGGGAAGTAAAGCTGTTCAAATTTCTCTCTTGCACAATGTCTTGATCTAGACAGGCCAATGGTCTGGACAGATGCAATCAGTCTCATGTCAGTAAGAAGATTCAAGGGCTCACCTGCAAGGTACTAGCTATCTACAGGAAAGAGGAGAAAGTCAGCTCTGAATTTAGTGTTCAACAAAAAGTAATGAGGAGATAAAACATAGCAGGAATTTATGAAACAAAAACTATAAAAATTGCAAATTAAGGGCCAAATACTGCCACTTTAAATTCTATTGAGTAGCAAAATTACTAAATATTATTATTGAAAACAATGCATCTATCTACACATGAGCTACGAACTACAGAGCAGTAGTAAGAAAAAAAAAATCTGATCCTAGAAAATAACGAAATATTTTTCCTATTTACCCCAGAGATGTGGGTTTTCTGGAAAATTTTCTAATACCCTAAATAGAGAATGATCTGATTTAGCATGTTTATTTGACTTTTATTTGGTAAACAAAACTAAAAAACAGCCCATGTTAATTTTATGTCCTAATAGTCACAAGTATTTGAACTGAAATATTTGATTAGGAAAAAAATTAAATACAGCCCACTTAATGTGGTTTAAATGTTATATTCAAACAAATCCAAAGCTTTATGTGGAAATAAATTATTTTTATTGGAATACTTGTAAAAATGTAAAGACAATATACAATAGCATGTACTTCCTTTACATTGTTTAAATTTAAGGAAAAAAAATGAAGGCACTGTAAACTGTTGACACACTAATTTTAGCACACCCAAAGAACTGTGGATTAGGCCTGTGCAAATAAGGAAGTATTCAATTTGGATTTGGCCAATTCAGAGGACAGTGATTTGATTTAGTGATTCAAATCACCATCCCTATTTGAGTTGGCCAAATCAGAATTGGAGATTCGGCGCCAATTCAGAGATTTGGATCTGCTGGGGAAAGGCAGGCACAGCTGAGCAGCTGCAGGTTCTCCTGTGGCTCCTCCAGCTGTGCCTGCCTCTCCCTGGGCAGAGGGAGCCTCAGAAGGAGCCCCCATGGCTGCCTTGTCTGGTCCCAGCCTCCCGTCACTTAAAAAAAAGCCCCAAACTTACTGGTTGCAGCAGCGGCAAGTGAGGCCTCTGAGGGCTCGTGGCAGAGTCCCCCCATGCAGTGGGGGGCAACAGAGGGCAGTGGGGATTGCCCCCCCCCACCTGGCACCAGTGCAGCAGCTGCCCCATGGTGCAGGTGCAGCATGGGTCAGCAGGGTGCCTCACACTGTGTGAGAGCTGGGGCCACTGGGGCTAAGCAGTGCTGGGCTGACATGTGGAGCCAGCCCAGCTCCCAGACAGTGTGTAGTGCCCTGCTGAGCCACGCTGTACCTGCGTGATGGGACAGCTGCTGCACTGGTACCAAGTAGGGTTCGATCCCTGCTGCCCCCACTGCTGTGCACTGCGTGGTGGGTGTGCTCTTCCATGAGCCCTCAGAGGCCCCAATCATCGCTGCAGCAGCTGGTGAATACGGAGC